TCTCCCCACCAGGCTGAACACCCCCAGCTCTCCCATGGCAGAGGGGCTCCAGCCCCTGGAGCTTCTTCAGGTTAGGGTTGGAGTTTGCAAATCAGAGCTCAGTTGCAGACTTTGAGAGGAACTTCCCACATGCAGAGCAAGGATGTATTGACTCACAACACCTTGCAGGGCTTGTGTCTTCCCACCTCCTGCCAAGGAAGCTCCTGACTCTGTCCCTGCTGTTCTCCAGGTGGATCTCTGTAAATATGTGTCTATCAATGGGGCAACGGCTCATCCCCACATTGAGAACGACGGCACCGTTTACAACATTGGGAATTGCTTTGGGAAAAACTTTGCCCTGGCCTACAACATCATCCGGATTCCTCCTCTGCAGGCAGGTCAGTCAATCCCACCTCGGAGCCAGCTGGGAAACTTTTCCCTTATGAATCATTTCTTTATCCTTTAAATGAACTTTATTATTGAGTTAGGCTTTTTCTAAGCTCCTTTAATTTTTTTTTAATGTTGTATTTAAAGTCACTTCCAGGTGGCTTCTAAATGATGAATTTTGTGATAAAGGCAGAAATTTGCTGGGTAGATGCTGTAAGTACAGAGCAAGTGTGGGTGAGACCTCCATAACCTCTCACCTGTCCCATTCCAGACAAGGAAGACCCCATAAACAAGTCGGAGGTGGTGGTGCAGTTCCCCTGCAGTGACAGGTTTAAGCCCTCCTATGTCCACAGGTAACATTCCATGGGGTCAGCAGGTCAGTTGAAACCAGGGACGGGTTTTCACATGTAATCAGCAATGAAAATTAGGTGATTAACTAAAATCAGGGTCATTTTGAGCAATGATCCATGTGTTTAAGATAAGCAACTCCATGGTTTTTGTCCAAACTGACCCCAGTGAGTTCTGATGTGCTCCCCTGCCTTTCCCAACAGCTTTGGGCTGACCCCAAACTATATTGTGTTTGTGGAGACACCAGTGAAAATCAACCTCCTCAAGTTCCTCTCCTCCTGGAGCCTTTGGGGAGCCAACTACATGGACTGCTTCGAGTCCAACGAGACCATGGGGGTAAGCATGGGGTCATCCCAAACTGGGCTGGACTGGGCAGCCACACCTGGCTTGGGAGGTCCCTTGGCTTCACCTTCATTTCCCTGAGCCCAAGGCCAGCTGCTGTGTGGTTTCCAGGTGTGGCTTCACGTGGCAGAGAAGAAGAAAGGCAGGCTCCTCAACCTCAAGTACCGCACCTCGGCCTTCAACCTCTTCCACCACATCAACACCTACGAGGACAACGGGTTCCTGATCGTGGACCTGTGCACCTGGAAGGGGTGAGGCCAAGGGCCCCTGGGCATCACAACTGCCCCTTGCACCACACACACCACTCCCTGCCCTGGCAGATCCCTGCTGGGGCCTCTGGCACTTCCACCAACTCGTTTAACATTTAACACGTGGTGACATGTAGACTATACAGCATTGAGCTCTCCAGAGGTGCAGGGAGCCTGCTTGGCACTCATAATCCAGGACAAAAATATTGTAATCTTTTATTTACTTTTATCTTTAGGAAATGTTAGTGATTGGTGAAGGGTTGATGCTATTCTGGCTCTTGGGGTTGCAATGAGCAGTGTGTGTGAGGCTTGAAATTGCTGCTCTTCATGTAAACACAGAAATGTGGCACTGAAATGATGAGGTTCAACCCTGTGCTGGCTGCATACCCAGGACACCCTGAGTTGAGCTGATCCTGGCACAGAATCATAGAATTCCAGACTGCTTTGGGTTGGAAGGAACCATAAAATTCATCTTGTTCCACCCCCTACCATGAGCAAGTGCTGAACACCAGCAGTTGCTGGGTTTTCCTGGCAGGGGCTGTGGTGCACTCACAGCTTAGCTCTGCTGAGGAGCTGGACTGGGCCTTCTGTCACTCTGTTCTGCCCCATCCCTGACAGTGTCCAAGACCAGGTTGGACAGGGCTTGGAGCACCCTGGGCAGTGGAAGGTGTCCCTGCCCATGGCAGGGGCTGAGACAAGATAAACATTAAGGCCCCTCCCAACCCAAACCATTCTACACTTCTGTGAATTTTAGGCAAAAACCACCTACACTTCCCCGCCACTTGCAAAGCCCAGCTGTGTTTCTCTCTGTGGTGCTGTTTGGTGCAGGTTTGAGTTTGTCTACAATTACCTGTACCTGGCCAACCTTCGGGCCAACTGGGACGAGGTGAAGCGGCAGGCGGAGAAGGCACCGCAGCCCGAGGCCCGCAGATACGTCCTGCCCCTGAGCATCGACAAGGTATGCAGGCTGCTCCTCTCCCCACCAGGCCTCCTGCCCCACTTACTTCAAATTCAACCTTTTCATTTAGAGGGCAAACTTGAAGTATGGGCTTTCAGAGAAACTTTGTGTTTTCTTCAGCTGATCAATGGTTTTCTAGTTTATTTATATGGCTGTCGGGAGAGGTTGTGGCTGCCCCATCCCCTGGAAGTGTCCGAGGTTGGGCTGGATGGAGCTCTGAGTAACTGGTCTAGTGGAAGGTGTCCCTACCCACAGAGAAGAAAATGAGATGAGCTTAAGATCCCTTCCAACCCAAACTCTTTGATGACTCCACGTGTTACTGTTCATGGCAGAGCCTCTGGGGCAGCAGTCAACACTGGATCTGCCCATAGCACAGAAGGGAGCAGCCACAGCCCAAGCATGTGTGGTTAAATCCTCCAGCCCTCAGTGTGAGGTCCCTGGAGCTGCCAGCCTGGCACAGACAGAGCTCTCTGGCTGGCAGCTCCTGGGTTCCTTTCCATGACCCTGCTCGTGGGCCGAGGGCTGCAGGGGACCGGTCAGCAGAGCCTCTCACAGAGCTCACTGGGCTGTGGATCAAGTGAGAAGTGCAAGCCCACGTGGCAGTGCTTAATGAAACCTCTGAATGCCTTCAGCAGGGAGGGAAGTTGTGTTTAGGCTGAGGAACAGGACAGTTCTTGCAGCACTGCCAAGCACACAGCAGCAGTTGCCCCCTGCCGCTCCTGAGGCTCTGCCACACGTTGCTGCCTTCCCTGTTCAGTGCTGTTTGCTACAGTTCTGTGCAAACAAACCAGAACTTTTCTCCAGTCTCTTGGGTATTTATTTCTCTTTGTCACAGGCTGACACAGGGAAGAACCTGGTCACCCTGCCCTACACGACAGCCACAGCGACGCTGCGCAGTGACGAGACCATCTGGCTGGAGCCAGAGGTGATTTTCTCAGGGCCACGTCATGGTACGATGACACCCCAGCTCCCCCAGGTCACAGAAGCCACCTGCTGCCTGCACACCTTGTCCCACTAACCCTCAGCATTTATACATATTTATTTTTCCTTGTAGCCTTTGAATTCCCTCAGATCAACTACAGGAAGTACTGTGGGAAGCCGTACACGTACACCTACGGGCTGGGGCTGAACCACTTTGTCCCAGACAGGGTAACTATCAGCCAGTGGGGGATAGCTTCAGTCTGGGGACAGCAAGGAGTATTTCTGAGCTCTGTGGTTGTGTGTTGTCCCCACCTTTAGCTGTGCAAGCTGAACGTGAAAACCAAGGAGACCTGGGTGTGGCAGGAGCAGGATGCGTACCCATCGGAGCCGATCTTCGTTTCCCACCCGGATGCACTGGAGGAAGATGATGGTAATGCTGGGGGTGGTGGCATTGGGATTGGGATTGGGACTGGGAAGGGCTGTGCCAGGCTGGCTTCAGGGCTGAGATGGGACAGGTGCTAACACTGGTGAGAAATTTCTGAGGAAACATGGGAAAACTAAAACTAGGATAATAAAATTTTTGGGCTGGGAAGGAACTTAAAACTCATCCCGTTCCACCCGCTGCCATGGGCATGGACACCTTCCACAGTCCTAGGTTGCTCCAAGCCCTGAACGTGGCCTTGGACATTGCCACAGGCAGCCACAGCTTCCCTGGGCAGCCTGTGCTGTGTCCCTGCCCGTGTCCCTCAGCATCAATGACACTCCCGGGATTTCTGGTGCCCCGAGTGCCAGGGCTGCTCTCGCCTTGCCCAGCCGGGGTCAGACACAGCCCACACCCACCTGAACCACACCCATCGTGTTCTCACCTTGCAGGGGTGGTGCTGAGCATCATCGTCAGCCCGGGGGCAGGGCCCAAGCCTGCCTTCCTCCTCATCCTCAACGCCAAAGACATGAGCGAGGTGGCCAGGGCTGAGGTGGAGGTGAACATTCCCGTGACATTCCATGGGTTTTTCAAAAGAGCGTGAGCACAAACAGCAACACCTGGCCCAGGCTTCTTCCAGCTCCCAAAAGGTGCAGTCTCCGTTTACAGGTGACCCAAATTCCTTCCACAGCCCTTTGCATTTTTGGGGCTGCTTAACTCAGATCAAGCAGTTCAGTCTTGTCAATGATTCTTCAAAATGGCTAATCAGGTATTTTTTGAATGCACCCTTTGGTATAATTTCCAGCTAAACCACAAATTGGGGGTGGTGGAGAGGTTCTGTTTATGCAAAATTAAACTTTGTAGCTGCAGCAGAGTGAAGAGGCTGAAAGAGCAGAGAGTTACCTCAACACTTTTACACGTGGTAACATTGTGTACAACTGGCTGTGCTCTGTTACATGGTTGAGAATTTTTAGCCCATACTGAAGGGTTCTGGATTTAAACATCATCCTGGTCATTGCTGTGGTATCCTCAGAGCAATCCCAGTGGAGTTTTCCACAGCTGCTTTGGGAATCCCAAGAGTATGGCAGGCAGAGTTTTGTTCTTCACCCAGGCTGCAAACTGCACACCTTCCCTTGTGTGTTTGCTCCTTTCCCTTTCTTTTGTCCAAGTGCAGCTCCTTGATTTCTGGATTTCATGTTAAAACATGGACATGAAAAAAAAATCAAGCAATTGTTACACCTTGGGCTAACTTTGCTTCCTTAGAGTGCTACAGATGTTCAGCTTAATCCTTCCTTCTCCCAAAATAAACTTTCAGCTGATGTTAAAAGACGCTATTGTTGAGAATAAAAAACTTCCTGCCAGCAGATTTACAATCTGGGATTCTTGTTTGTCTTCAATTGTTCAACACTTTTATTAATGGTATCAAAGAATTAGAAAATCTTTATACTCAAAGTTCTGGTAGAGGGTTCTGGTTTGAGGGGTCTGTTACATCCTGATTATGGGATGGGAACGGGGAGACACAGCGTGGTACTTCTTCTGTTCCATGATCTCCAAGCACTGGGCAATCACCTAATTAAAACCAAAAAACAATATAAACAATGGGCCTCAAACAAAAAAAAACCCAACCAGTACAACTCATTAGTTCTGTGCTTATTTATTTGTTCCTTTGGTTTGTGAAACACTGAACATGGTAACATGAACAGTTAAACTCTCTCTTATTTTCATGTATAGCTCATAAAGTGGGAATTTCAGGGCTCTAGGACTAAAAACACTTCTTGGTGCTCTCCCGTTATCAAAGTTCCCATAAACTTCATGAAAATATTTACCATCCACATAGTTCCATAAATATGTACCATATTTAGAAGGGTTGTGTTGTGATTTAACCCCAGCTAAAACCAGGACAGATTGAGATCTTCAATTAACAAACTTCAGAAGTGCAGGGAAGATTTTTATTGCTAACAAACAATGTAACAAGGAAAAATAGAAGAACAAAGGCAAGAGCTTTCAGAAAGAACCTAAAGGAGGGAGGGATGTCTGCCAATTTCAAATCAATAAAAAGGCAGGGGAGCACCCCAAATGTACACAGCAAATTTAAAGCAAGAAGAGAAAATTGCAAAAAGCAACATGCCAGGATAAAAGAATGTTTTGGAAACAAAAGGAATTCTGAGGAGCCCAAACTCCAAAGAGTGAAGGTATGGGTAATTATATGGAAAAAAGGGATTCAGATGCAGATTCAAATTATGGTAAAGTCAAAGGAGAGGCTCAGTGAGGAAAAGCTGTGGTCAAGTAACCAGAATTCAAGAGAAACTTTTTTGATAAAGTAATGGAGATGAGACAGGATGAGAATTACAGAGAGAAATTCCATGGAGTGAGAAGTGGGAGCCCCAGGTCTGGAACCAGCACATTGCCAGCCCTGAGTGAGTCATGTTCACCCACTGTGAGACTGGAGAATAAAAGGGCCTAAAAAGAAAACCCACCTTCCTGGTGTCTTGAGGAAGAATGATCCCATCATCCCAGAGCCTGGCAGAGGAGTAAAAGGCACTGCTTTCTTCCTCTAGCCTGGAGAGGGCAGAGAATTGAACAGGCTTAAAAGCACAATAAAAACAGCAGAGCAGTGAAAAGAAATTACAGCTGAAAACAGGCAAATCCATCCATCTGAAGAGAATGGGCAGCACTGCTGTTAAAATTATTCAGAAACCAGCAAATAACAGAGCTGACCATTCTGCAGTAACAGGAAGACCCTAACAGAAAGGCATCAAATTACATTGAAATTTAAAATATTTTTCAGTAGATCCATGTTTGTTTCATTAGTCAGGATGTGTTGCTCTGTAAGATGAACAAAAGTAGGTAATTTAACAATGAAATCCCTGTTAGGTTTATATTGAATGTCCTTACTTTGCCTTCAGCTGTTTTAGCTCCAGCTCCTCTCCTGTCCAGTCCCCAGCTGGGGGAACTGTGGGGAAATGTTGAGAATCCACAAGACCAACTCTTGCATTGGGCCACAGGAACAGAAAGTTTGGACTGAATGATCTCCCACACTACAAGGGAAAAACCAAACAACAGAACAAACCCACAGAGATGAATCACAAAAAGGTGTCTGTGGGATGAGACAACCAAGGGCAAGGCAGGATGGAACACAAGTGGATTTGTATGAGGACAGACACCCTGTGCTAGGAACCACCACCTCCCCACTGCCCTCAATATTTCTATTTTAATATTTCATTTTGAATTCCAAGCACTTCCACGTTTAATTCTTCCATGTTTGCTTCTCAGCAATCACATGCATTGTTGCATTTCTTACTTAAATATTAGTTCAGAGCTCGAGTTCCCCAGCTGTGTTTTAGAACTGCAGTGACACTTGAGCAGTGTGACAGGTGTGTCCCCAAGCCCTGGACTGGTGCCACCCATACCATGACGTAGCTGTCACTCCCAAAACAGCCTCCAATGACAATGGTTATTTTGGGAACAGCAGCACAGGCAACTGCAGCCATCATGGAGGCCTGGGCCTTCAGCCTGTTGGAATGAGCCTCTGCCTGGAATAAAAATAGATATCTTAGGTCCTTTAAGACGTTATTATAGATTCTCCCCACTCCCAACAAACTTGTATTTCTAATTTATTTATTTATTTATTTATCTACAGTTCTGCAGAAACAGGTCTGGAAAAATAGATATCTTAGGTCCTTTAAGACGTTATTATAGATTCTCCCCACTCCCAACAAACTTGTATTTCTTATTTATTTATTTATTTACAGTTCTGCAGAAACAGATCTGGGATCTAATGGAGGTTTTACTTTCCTTAGCCCAGGAGAAATCCTACTGGGCTTTAATGCCTTTACTTTCAAAAGAGAAATAGCCAATTTTCTGAAGTGCAGAGTTAGCAGAGGAATCAATAAGTTGTATTTCAATGCCAAAAGCGCTGCAAATCCCAAACTTTCCAGCCTTGCCAACTGAACTGTATCATTTTATATCAGCATCCAGCCCTGCTTAAAATTCAAGTGAGAAAGTTCTTGAATCTTTCTATTAGCAAAGTCATTACGAAGCTTCATCAAGAGTGCTTAAAAAACTAATTTTCCTAACAGTTAATAATTCTGAAAATCTAACTTTAGGCCCAACAAGAGCTAAGAGTCGTTTGAAATGCATCGAAGCAAACATGCCATACCTGGGAGATGCTTGCAGGCCCTGCTGGCTGTGGAGCAGTGTTTTGGAGGAAGAGGATGGGAATTCCCCTCTGGCCACAGAGCTGGACGAAGTGGCTGCCCTTGAGAGCAGCATCATGAGCCAGCTCCCCATTGCTGGCCACTATCCCCACCAAGTGCCTACAGAACAAACATGGACAGTTTGACTCCATGATTTGAGAGGTCCTTTCCAATCTCAGCAATTCCATGATTCTCCCTTTTGAACCCTAGGAATGATTGGAGTGGTGTGGAACCTGCTGAGGCCACAAAAGCTGTTGAGAAATGCACATCCATCCGTTTGGATGGGGAATGTTCCCAGCCATACCCTTCCACATGGCCAAATCCTGTCACCAATGTTGTTCCATAAGTAGCCTTGAATTCCTGGAATCTGCTTCCATCCACCAGCCGGCTCAGGATCTGCAAAGAAATACACAGACTTGACTTTACTAGAGAATTTGAGGTGAAAATAGGAGAGTTCTGCTAAAAGAAATGCTCTGTTCAAACAGTAGCAGATCTGAGTTACACAAGATGAGCACAGGGGGTCTTTGGGTGAATTGCTAAATGCTCAATATGCACAAACCATCCAATTTGTGTTTAGTTTCATTACCAACTGTGTATTTTAAGACAAAGGTCAACTCCAAAATTATTTTAGTTTTACAAAGCACAATTGTTCCTGTGCATAAAAATGTAAAAAAGCAAAGACCACACCCCAGTGTGTGCAGTTTCAGACTTTGTGCAGAAGAAATGCTTGGTTCATAAGGCTCATGTTTTTTTCCAACACAGTTAAAAGCTGCCTTCAAAGCTTTCTACAGTCAATTCCCTCAAGTGCAGGGACTTACCACTGCAGGAAAAGATACTGCATTCACATCCATGGAGACAAAATCTCATGTAGAACACAATGGAAACAGTGTGGGCAGCTCTGCATGTCTCTGCTTAAGCTTTAGTGTCTCTCCCTACCTCAAACAAGTTTGATTTGAGCTGTGTTGTTTTTCCAGTCAGTAATTTCACCATTTCTTTTACATTATTTGAATGCTTGGGGGGAAGAAACAAAAAGGCAGGGGAAGGGAAACACAGACATTAAAGGGGTGTATGTTCTCAAGGCAGCCAACACAGTGCAAGACATAAAGAAAGCATCCCAATAGTGCATGGAAACAGCTGGGCAGCACTGGCACAATCTGGGATTATTTTATCTCCAGCAGGATTTCAGGTATTTAAATATTTGTATAATAAACATTTAAATATTTATATAATAAATATAAATTGTTTATTATAAATATTTTAATAATAAATTTAAATATTTTCTGTAATCCCACAGAACTATTGCCATCCTGCTCTGTTTCAGGCTTAAAACAGGCTGGCAGCAGATGAGGTAATAATTCAGAATAACATCTGGAGCTGTGGGATGGAGCAGAGTGAAGGATGCAGGAATGAAATCCCTGTTCCCTTACCAGTTTGACAGGAAGAGTGCAGCTGTAGCCCAGTGGTGCCAGGCCCAGGAGCTCCTCAGGGCTGTACAAGGGACTGTCAGGCTCCCTGTCCTGCTCTGGCACTGGCTCATAGTTTAAGGTAGAGACAACATTACGAATGCACTCATAGGCCTCCTCTTCTGAGGGTGCAAAATGGTCACTGCAGCCACTGACTCTAGGAGAGACAGACATTAATTAGCATTGAATTAATGAGTTCTGAATCCTGAGAGAAAACACAAACTCTAGGAAAAAAGCTGAGGCTCTCCAAATGCCCTGTGGAAATACTGTGTGATTTGTTTGTGTATGAATGAGCTGAAAGCAGCCACTCAGTGGAATTTCCATGCAGTCCAATCCCAAATTAAATTCACAGTAAGGAGCTGTTCTTCCCCGTGACTTTTGTGTTTATCTGGATTAAACAAAGACCTTGGCATTTATTTTTGTGATGCTGTTGTTGCAGACAATATTAAAAAGGGAAAAGAGGAAAGTAAACTTTGGGAATTATTTCAAAATAAGCAGTTGCAGCCAAGATATAAAGATAGGAATGTATTCCATGTAGCAAAATTGGGTTAAATATGTGCATTCTGGAAAACACTTGGAAAAGAGAAGATAGCATCCCTCTTCTGCAACTGCTCACTGTGAGGCACAGAGGAAATTACTTGCCTGAAGTTGTTCAAGAAGTATGTGGAACAACAGAGACCCAAATCCAACCTGTCCAGTCCCTGCCTCACCCCATCAATAACCTCATTTTACTTCCATTTGGCTGATTTAACCCAAACCCCTGAACCTGAGAAGGCAAGCCAGTGTAACCACAGGTTCCACCCTTAGCCCTGCTCTGAAATGCCAATGCCACATTCCTTTCAGGCTGAGAGTGCTGAATTCCCTTTTTTGAGAATACTCCACATACTGTGAGTGAAGCCTGGCTCCTCCAAGGTCCTCAGGAGAGACATCTTCTCCCGTGGCAGCTTTCACCAGGGGTGGTCCAGCCAGGAACAGTGTCCCAATTTTATCAACGATCACGGATTCCTCGGCCATGGTGGGCACATAGGCACCTCCAGCCACACAGGAGCCACACACCACGGCCACCTGAGGGGACACAGACACAGCAGTGCTGCAGAGGGGACAGGAAAGGCAAAGCCAAGCCCAAAGTTGTTTCAGAAGTGCAGAAAGTGCTAAGTCACAGCTTGGGGAACAAACCAGAGACAGCACAAAATTTACTACACATTTACACCTTTCCTACTCCCCCCTGCACTCACTCCCCATGCCACTGTACCTGAGGGATTCCCATGGCAGACATGATTGCCTCATTGTAGAAAACTCTGCCACCGTGCAGCTTGTCAGGAAACAGCTCTGACTGAGGGACAGGGAAGAGAAAAAGAGATTTTCAATGGTAACTGTGAAAGTTGATGCTTCCCTTTCACTCCATTCATTCCCAAACACACCAAAACTGACACTGGGAAGGTCCCCATTAATAATCACTCCTGAGCCTTTCATATACAGCATTCATTATGGTCTTTATTCCTTTATACATTGTCAAATACCCCAAAAAGATCCATTTGCTTTGAAAGCACAGGTTAAGTTTTGATTGTGATTTTTTTCCTGAAATCAATATATTCTACACAAACTGACTGTAAATGTGGAGAAGGGAAGGATGGTAGTTCTACTTCCTCTGTGAAATGCCTTCAGGAGTTTCCTTTTTTGCTTAGTTTTGGATACAATTCTGGGTAAACTTCCAGGTAACTTTTAAAATTTAGTAATTTTAAATAACTTTAAAATTCCAGGTAACTTTTCCTGTGTGCTTGCCCTCAGTGTGGAGAGAGAACAACTACAGTCTCTCTGACAGGATGATCTCTGCATTTCATAAAAGAACCTGTTCAAATTCTTATTTTGCTGTCAGAATTGCAAAACCTCCACTTTTAAAGGCCATAGAGCTTAGTGCACCACTGGCACAAACAGGACAATAAAATACAGAACACTTCAGAGATTCTGGAGTGAAAATAGACACCTCCCACTGTGTATAAAGACACAAAAGCAGTTCAGCACACTCACTGGAGTTTCTAACCCCTGCTCAGGTGGGAGGTGCAGGACTAGCCCAAGGGATGAAATAAATACTGATATTTTCTGCTCTGCAGAGTGCCAGCAGTACCTGCAGGGGTAGGAAGGCTCCCCCACTGTCCACCAGGTGCACAGACAGCAGCCTGTTCTCCATGGCGATTTCCTGGGCTCTCAATTGCTTTTTCACTCCAATTGGGTAAATGGTTCCTCCTTTCACAGTGGCATCATTTGCAATGAAGACACACCAGACCCCACTGATTCTGCCAATTCCTGCAAGCAGTACCACACATATTTATTTAAAGCAACAGCCAAAGCAAGGGGGAAAACCTTTTAACTTTTTCAGGAGTTTTTCTCAGTAATGCTACATCAAGAAGCTCCAAATTAACTTGAAAATACCACACAGGGAAAAAAAATCTACACTGTTCTCTGGAATTACAGTATTTAAAAAAATCATCTAAATGAGAGAAGAGCCTCAAATAAATTTACTTACTTCTGGTGATAATGTAACAGAAAAAAATACACTGTGACTCCCAACCCTTGAGATAAAAGGGAAGGAAGATAAAGTTAAAAATTACCCCTATAAAGCTGGAAAATATAACAATCTGTGATGAAAAAAAGGGTTTTCATACTGTTCTTCTAGTTACTTTTTAAACTGAAACCACTCTTCAAAATGCAATTTCGCTGATATTGAATGAAATTGAATGTCATTGAATTTCAATGAAATTTCATTTTGAAGAACTGTTCCAGTTTAAAGAGACAATGTCTGCATAGAAAATGCAACTGTCTGTGATTTGAAAAACCACTTCAAAATGTATGCCACAGCTCCTGCTTCTCACAGCAACTTTGCCCCCTCTCCTTCAAGAGTCAACAGCTGATTTGACACACCACCCTGCATCTTTTGGGACAAAAATTAGTAAGTGGTAAGTAGAATTACTAAATCTAGAAGAAATTAAAAACTGTTCTTTCAAAGGTGTCTCCCATTATAGTAAAACAACACTGGCTGAACTCTTCCCTGCTGGGAATAAGACCTTGATAAAACCAGTGTTCACTTTTCCTATGAAAGCACTTCAGAGAGTAAAATATCCCATAACCTTCATTCCACGCAACATTTCCCTCCCCGTTTCCCTTCCCAGCGCCCCCAAATCCCATTACCCGTGAGGCAGCCGGCAGCAGGGACATCCCCGTAGGGCATGTGCAGCCCTGCCAGGGGGGACAGCTCCAGGAAACGCGCATCGTCCAGCAGCAGCCTCAGGCGCTCCCGCACGAACACCTTCTTGTTGCGCTGCGTGTGCCGCAGGACGGCGTTTTGACCCCCTCCTTCCTTCAGCCTCTCCAGCAGCTCCGAGTACCTGATGGGTAAAACCCGAAGGTTCGCTCATGGGAAAAAGCTGCGGGGTGCGGACACACGCCGGAGAGGAGAGGTGGCTGCCGGAGGGACACGGACAGGGGGAGAGGTGGGGCCGCAGGAACCTCAGGAGTCCAACACGGCCGAGTGCAGGTCCTGCTCTGGGCCGGGAAAATCCCAAGGGCACACGGGCTGTGGGAGAAGGAGACTGGGAGGATTTGGGGTGTTTCTGGATGAGAAGCACAACCTGCACTGCCCAGAAGAGGCCCCGGAGCTGCTGCAGGGCTGGAGCCCCTCTGGAGAAAAGCGGTTGACAGTGGGAGGTGTCCCTGCCATGGCAGGGGTGGCACTGGGTGGGCTTTGAGGGCCCTCCTGACCCAAACCATTTTCCTTACAAGTTACCCTTTAGCAGACTGAGCTCAAATATATTGCACAGTTTTCACACAAATGGCATGAAAATGAAGATAAATTCACATTTTCAGATTATTGTTTTTCCAAGGTGTAATAAAAAGCAAAGGTCTATTATTTAAAGCAAACATTTCACTTTTCTTAGCCAAAAACTGTTTAATAAAGCCAATAATATAATATATAATAATGAGGATATTATAATGTGCCCGTCCTAATTCAGCATGAACCTGCATGTTCCACCTGCTCTTGGAAATAATCCAGCCAAGAGCTTCCTCTGTCAGGCCCTGCAACAAGTTTATCTGACAAAAATCAGTAACTGGGAAGTGGAATAAATTACTAAATCTGGAATATATACTAAAAGCAGGGAATACTGCAGTGTCACAGGGAGGAAGTGATTACCCAATGGTATTGTCAGGGCAGCACCACGTATAGGTAAAAAACTGAATAAATGTATACAAATGTGGTACCTCAACTTTGGTCTTAAATAAACCAAGTTCTTCCTTGATTTCAAGCACATTTTCCCCTCAGATGCATCACCTTTAACTGTAAATGTTGTTTGACACAAAGGCTCACACAGCCCTTTGGGTGTGACTCTGTGATCTGAGCGTGGCTCCCTGCACACTCTGGAGGCTGGAAAAACTTTGGAGGAAAAGGATTTTAATCATGTCCTCAATGCCACCACAGGAGGGCACAGTGTGTTTTGCAAAGCTTTGCTTCCAGCTCCCGGATCACTCCCCTGAACAAAGCCCTTTGCAATTGTGCCATCTGATCTTTCGGGACAAACACATAAAACACATTTTTTTCATTTTATCTGTAAATGATGATGGACTGCAGCACCCATCCCCTACTGTCAGGAGTGTGTGAGTCACCATTTACGTCTTTGCATTCAAAACGCAACACGAAACAAATGTTACGCAGGTCTGGAAAAAGTATTTCTTGGCAATATACGCAAAACAACACATGGCACTGTTTTAAATAGTTTGCACCTCGATTTGGGCATTTCAGTCAACATTTCACGGACTGGTTGGAAGGGACCTCAAAGCTCATCCAGTGCCACCCTCTGCCATGGGCAGGGACACCAGGCTGCTCCAAGCCCTGTCCAACCTGGCCCTGGACACTTGCAGGGATTGGGCAGCTGCATTGCTCCATGGGGCAAGAATTGTCCCATGTTAAAAGTCTCTAAAGTGCCCTCCAACACATAATTGACTCTTACACTATGTCACAAATAGCAACGCTCTAAAAACCCAAAAAAACCCGCTTTATTACCTTTTAATCGCAGCCTCGCTGTTCCTTAAATTCTCTTGGAACGCATCTCGGTACGCGGCGGGGACACGTCCGTCTAGAACCGGGAATGTTTTGGGATGGCACCTGGATTTGGGTTTATTGCTTAAAAACCGGCGGGGAGGCAAGTGCTGCGTCCTTCCCCAGCCCTGCCCCAGCAGCGGCAGCTCCCGATATTCCCTCTGGAGCAGGCAGAAAGGGGTTTTCTCCCGATACTCCCTCTGGAGCAGGCGGATCGGGGGTTGTTCCCGATATTCCCTCTGGAGCAGGCGGGTCAGGGGCTGCAGCGGCACGGAGGGCCCGGGGCGCCGCCGGCCCAGGGCGCACAGCTGGGCCGGGCTCCACATGGCCCCGAGAGCTGAGGGACAACGAGTGACAGGAATTAAAGAGCGGGTTCCCTCGGCTGAGGTGCAGCGCGGCCCCTTCGCCTCGGGAGCGAGTCATGAGGGGACCCCCCGACTCCATTCTGCCGTGAGGGGACACCCCGGTGCCTGCCCTGCCGCGGGGGCCGTGAGGGGACACCCTGACTCCAACCCTGCATCGGAGATGGAGACGCGGCACTCCTGGCTCCCGTCTTCCCGCAGGGGTCGTGAGGGGACACACCACTGGTTCCCGCTTTGATACGGGGGATCGCGAGGAGCCACTTTGACTCCAGTGGGTCGTGAGAGGACACCCCTGTTCCTGCGGGGTTCGTGAGAGGACACCCCTGTTCCTGCGGGGTTCGTGAGGGGACACCCCTGTTCCTGCGGGGTTCGTGAGGGGACACCCCTGTTCCTGCGGGGTTCGTGAGGGGACAACCCTGTTAGCGCGGGGGCCGTGAGGGGACACCCCCGGTTCCCGCGGGGTAGGGAGAGGACCCCCCCTGTACCCGCGAGGGCCGTGAGGGGACATCTCTGTACCCACGGGAGCTGTGAGGGGACACCCCTGTTCCTGCTGGGGTCGTGAGGGGACAACCCTGTACCCGCGAGGGCCGTGAGGGGACATCTCTGTACCAGAGGGGCTTTGAGGGGACATCCCTGTTCCCGCGGGGGCCGTGAGGGGACACCCCCGGTTCCCGCGGGGTAGGGAGAGGACCCCCCCTGTACCCGCGAGGGCCGTGAGGGGACAACTCTGTACCCGCGGGAGCTGTGAAGGGACAGCCCTGTTCCCGCAGGGACTGTGAGGGAACACCCTCTGTTCCCGCAGGGACTGAGGGGACACCCCGGTTCCCGCAGGGATCGTGAGGGGACACCCCCGGTTCCCGCGGGGGCTGTGAGGGGACACCCCCCGGTTCCCGCAGGGATCGTGAGGGGACACCCCGGTTCCCGCGGGGGCTGTGAGGGGACACCCCCGGTTCCCGCGGGGGCTGTGAGGGGACACCCCCGGTTCCCGCGGGGGCTGTGAGGGGACACCCCCGGTCCCTGCCGTGCCAGGGCGGCCGCGAGGGGACAGCCTCGCACCGGGCCGTGCCGGGAGGGCCCAGCCGGGCCTGCGGAGCGCGGCGGGGCCGGGACCGGGGCCGCCCGGGCCGGGTAGGGAGCGCGGGGCCGCGGCCTCTCCGCCGGCGCTCCCCGGCCCCGCTGGCCCCGCTCCCCGCCCTCCCCGTGCCCGCCCGGCCCGGCAGACCCTGCCGCCACCGCCCTTTCCTTACCCCGTGCGGTCCCCGCCCGCCTGTCGGGGCGGCTCCGCAGGACGGCCCGCCCCCGGTGTCCTGTGCCCTCGGTGTGTGTCCCGTGTGCCATGTGTGTCCTCTGTCCCTGGTGTCCTGTGCCCTCTGTGTCCCATGCCCCGAGTGTCCAGTGCAATTGCTGTCCCCTTCCTTGTGCGTCCTGTGCCACAGGTGTCCTCTCTCAAATCAAGTTTATGGTTAGAATATTGAAACGAATTTGACTTTTCTCCTTCCACACCTCATCCCATGTCTGGGCTGCTTTGGTTTGCCATTGTCAACCATGGCACAACCTTCTAGAAATTACTCTGTGTTGCCTTTCAGTGCCTTCATTAAAATGCATCCCTGCCAGGGAGCTCTTTATCCGTATTATACATATTAATAAGGCTGGGTAGCAATAATTAAGGGATGACTAATATGTTCGTGAGTGAAAGTATCCAACATGGGCTGGAATTCGTAGGTAAATAGGGTATATATGTTAATAAAAAATCTTGAAGGTAATAATTAAAATTTCCTGAGATATAATAATTTAAAATAATATTTGCTGTCCTTTTACAGTTATAGCAGACAGGACACTTTTCAGTGCTGTGCACCCTTGTAGCAGGAAGCTCAGTTCAGATGCAGCTGTGGGAGGAGGTGCTGCTGCCCTGGGCGGCTTCAGCTGTCCCAGAGGATGTGCCTGAGTCCCTGTGGCTGTCCCTGTGGCTGTCCCAAACCCTATGACAGGGAGAAGGTCTGTGCTGGACCAGGGAGAGCCCTGGGAGCAGCAGGCAGACATGCTCTGCCAGATCAAAGGTAGCACTTAAGGGCAGCACAGACACTGCAGAGTCACCACTACCAGGGCCTGCCCACCCTGCCAGGAACAATTCCTAATTCCCAATCTCCCATCCATCCCTGCCCTGTGGCAGTGGGAGCCATTCCCTGTGTCCTGTCCCTCCATCCTTGTCCCCAGTCCCTCTCCAGCTCTCCTGGAGCCCCTCCAGGCCCTGCCAGGGGCTCTGAGCTCTCCCTGGATCCTTCTCCTCTCCAGGTGAGCACCCCCAGCTCTCCCAGCCTGGCTCCAGAGGGGCTCCAGCCCTGCAGCAGCTCCGGGGCCTCCCCTGGACTGAACAATGACATTTAAAAAAACCACTGATCCAGGCATATTTATTTTACAGGTTTTCCAGTAGATAGAATCAGTGGTCACAGGCAGAACTTGCTGCATGTAACAGAAGGGGTTTTCACTCAGGCTTAAAAGAGTCATTTAATTTCATTCTTATGAAAGTTAAATGCTGTTTGCTCAGATTAAAGGAGAAAGAAACAGCCCCCACACTTCTGAGTGCCTGTTTATTCCAGAGAGAAGGCGTCAGCCACCAGTTTGTACTGGGAGGCAGCCTGGGATAAATAACAAATCCTCTAATTAAGAGCTAACGGATCCTAATTGACTTATGTTAGTCCTCCAGCTGGGCTCAGCCTTCCTCTCCTGTCATGGCATGGAGCATCCTTTGTTTAAGGCACCCTGAGGTAGGAAAACCCAGCCCCTGTGAGAGGCTGCAGCCTTGTGAAGTGTTTGAAGTTGTTATTTTAGGAGCTTATTTTAGAGACTCCTGAGCTGAGCATTGAGAATATATAGAGCAGCATTTAGGGAAAACGTTCATGTGGTGGTGGCTTCCTTTACCATGAGCTGCAGCTCTGCCAGCCAAGCTGAGCTGTGCCATTTAAGGAACACTGAAGCTTTGAGTGAAGCTTAAACTTAGAAACTTTGCTGGAGTGCACCGGATGCTGGGGGAAACCAGAACACACTTTTTGGATTGTCAGACCAAAGGCAGGAGGGTTCCCACAGAGCCCTCCTCCTTGTGGAGCTTCTGTTTCATATTTAGATTTTGTTTTTTAATGCCCAAAGAGCTTTTAGTTGGGCTCTGACCATGGTGGCCTGGAAATTGGGCTAAATTAAAGCAGGGGTTTTTTGTTTACTTAGAAGTGCTAACAGACTTGGGCAGCCCTGGGGCGTTTTTCAGGACTTACATCATTCTAAAATAGATTTGACTCAAAACAAATTCGATAAGAAAGTAATTCTCACTTGATGTGTGTGAGAATCTTACTTGTTGGCATCTACCCCAAAGGAAGAGCTGAGCCTGGGCAGGTGTGCTGAGAGGGAGTCTGGATTTGATATGAAATATTAAGAAGTTTATTTATTTTAATTACTGGAAGATCCAAGAGAACACAAGGAGTTAAATGAAGTAGTTGGAAGACACAGGAGAAGTTGGGAGCCTGACCCTCAGTAAGTAAAATGCCATTCCCACTGAGGGTTTTATCAGATGCTCCCATACTACTCAGCTTCTTATTTTGGGTGGTTTGAGGTTTTATGAATCCCCAGACAGAGATCCAGGGTTGTCTTCCAAAGCTGTGCCAAAAGATGAGGGTGATCCATTGAGTCATGGAAGTTGTGTGCACTATTTGTTCATCACAGCTGTATGAGACAGCAGCTGTATTACAACACCTCTAAAAAATTATGTATTAGCCACAATCATTTTCCACATCATTTACCAGTGTCACAGTATTTTTAACTCCAGTTTAGCCTTCCCTACTTCTCAGCCTGCTGCCACAAAGAGTTGACAATCCCAAAGATAATCCCAGAATAACTCCAATTGTGGAATCACAGCTGATTTGGAGAAGACAAACAATGTGTCCTCTTGCTTCCACCACTGAGAAATGTGAGTATCTGGTTGCCTTACTCCTGCAAAAAGTGCACAGAGCAAAAAGAGAAGAATTATCTTAGAGGAACAGAATTATCTTCTGATTAAGGTATAATTAATAACGTGTACATAACTAACAGTGTGTACATAATTAGTAGGGTGTACAATTCCCTGTTGCAGGGCCAGTCTGTCCTAAATTGCACTGGTAAGAACTGTAAAGAACAGATTTTTTTTTTTCTGAGAATGCAGGTAACTGGTGATGATACCCAAGTCAGAAGAAAAATAACTTTCATGGGCCAAAACCTGTTGGTTTTACCTGCACAGGTGTGTGAAACCTCTGAGCCGCTGCTCTTGTACAGTTTGAAATGCAACAACTGTGTGAAGAACTGTTGCTTCCTGTTTCAAAGGCCTAACCAAGAGTGTTCTGAGGTAATCCAGAAGCTCTTTGTGGGTGAGAGGAGATGCAGATCCAGTTGCAAACTCCAGGAAAGTGCTGATGGATTTATTCCCCTGTGCAAACCCCTGGCACCGAGAGCTGACACCAAAGCCTCAGGCTGTGCCCGAGCGTTTGGAGTGCCTTGCCCATGGGTTTGTAAGGCCATTCCCAGCTAGTAATTGGTGACTGGATGTGGTCAGGGCAGGCAGATAAACACTGGAGGAAGGGGGTGAATCACTGAGTAAATATCCCATCGATGCTGTAGGAGCTGCTGTTACTCACAGCACCTTTGGGGGGATGTGACGTGTTTGTTTTCAGGAAAACGTTACTTGAAAGAAGAATTGAGGTTAGATGTGTTCCAAATCTGCAGCTCCACACCTTTCTCATGCATCTCTTGCCTCCTTCAGACCAGTTTAACATCCCCCTTCTTCCTTCCCATCCCCTTAGAGCTGATCCCCCACTCTGAGGTCACAGCAGAGAAGTTTTCATTCTGTAAATGCCAGCGTAGTTGCATCATTAAAAGCCCCCAAAGCAGATGGTCTGGGTTTTTTTTTTTTTTTTTTTTTTTGCCAGTGAAGCAGCATTATAGTGATTAGAGCAGCCTGTTGGCAGTTCCTGTCAGCAATTTTTGCAAGCATGTAATATATAAAAGGATAAAAATACCATTTACTGTGATTTGCTCACCACAGAAAAAGGCCAGAGTGATACAGTACCAAAATCAGGGAAAAAAGCCCTGCAAGTAGTTTTCTGTCCTCTCTTCTGCACTTTTCCAGGATCCTGGTGGATAAATAAGTATGCTTGAGGAGTCTAACCCTCCTTGTGGGGCTGGGACACCCCATTAGCCAGCAGCCCCACTCCGTGACAGCAAAGTCCTCAGCAAAGCTGGATAGCTTTGAAATAATGGAGCACATTTCTGAAGACAAAAACCTAATTTCTGAGCTTTGAACTCCATGAAATTTGCCATGATCTGTAAAATATCTCTACCTTGAGTTATGGTGGAAAGTTTCAGCAATAAAACTGAGTATTAAGGAACAATACATAGAAATTCACATGCAAGATGCTGCAGTGGTACCAGAAAATCCTCCTCCAGTTCCTGTTTTCCTGATCCACTTGGCATGAAATGTTTTCTTGACTTCTACTTACTATTCTCATAAAAACCACAGGGGTTTCTTCTCACTGCTACTTGTTTTGTCCAAGATCCAGTAATTGGTACCATGTGAATTCACATTTTGCAGTGACAGAACAGAAACGGTGTTCCAAAAAATCACTTCAGCATCTCAGCCTCTGGCAAACATCAGGGCTACAACCCCCCCCACTCTCCAAGAACCCATGGATTTACACATCAAGTAGCTTATTTTACTCCTGCTGGTAAGCCCTATGTGAATATTTACAGCTCAAATGGAATCATGATTAAAAATTAATAGTTAGATTTTTTGTGAAAATTCCGTTGCCTCTTCAGACTGGAATTGTTTTACCCTTGGTTTGCATGTACTCCCTTGATATATTAATAATAATTTTAGTTATTGGTAACATGTTTTGCTAAATTTGGTGCACTAAAAATTATGTCACTGGTATGAACCAGTGAACAATTAATGATGCCAGAAAAAGAGGGAAAAATTAAAATCAGAGTTAGAGCACCCTGTGAAGTGTTAAGGTACATTTTAGAGGTTTAGTGGGAGGGTTTGGTTTCTCCAGCCCCCCATGGGTTACCTCTCCTCTCCAGGGCACTTGGATCATCTTCCCCCTGAGAGCCTTGGTTTAATTGAGCTGTGTGTGAGAAACATTGGCTCAGCAGGGAGCCCTTCAGCTGGGCTGGAGAGGGAGGGTGGGATTCTCAAGGAAAAAGCCTCCTTGGAATCCCAAAGGCACGGGAAAGTTCGTTTGATGCAAAATCTTTTTAAGCTGGGCTCACCTACTGCAGCTCTCAGCCCTGTTGGTGCATAGAAGAGG